TTTCGGCAACCCCTCACTCGTCACGTTTTCGTGGCCACAGGGAGCTCACCGAAGGCCCCAGTGGCTGCGTTCGCTGCCTCCCCGCCACCAATTCGGCACACCCTGACACGCTTCGTGCCCCCAATAGGGAGCTCCACCAAGGGCCCAGTGTCAGGTTTCGCATGCCTCCCCACCAACCATTTCGGCGCACCACTCACACGTTTCGTGGCCCCATAGGCAGCTCCACCGAAGGCCCCAGTGGCTGCGTTCGCATGCCTCCCCACCACCCATTTCGGCACACCCCTCACACGTTTCGTGGCCCCATAGGGAGCTCCACCGAAGGCCCCAGTGGCTGCGTTCGCATGCCTCCCCACCACCCATTTTCGGCACACCCCTCACACGTTTCGTGGCCCCATAGGGAGCTCCACCGAAGGCCCCAGTGGCTGCGTTCGCATGCCTCCCCACCACCCATTTCGGCACACCCCTCACACGTTTCGTGGCCCCATAGGGAGCTCCACCGAAGGCCCCAGTGGCTGCGTTCGCATGCCTCCCCACCACCCATTTCGGCACACCCCTCACACGTTTCGTGGCCCCATAGGGAGCTCCACCGAAGGCCCCAGTGGCTGCGTTCGCATGCCTCCCCACCACCCATTCGGCACACCCCTCACACGTTTCGTGGCCCCATAGGGAGCTCCACCGAAGGCCCCAGTGGCAGGGTCCGCATGCCTCCCCACCACCCATTTCGGCACACCCTTCACACGTTTCGTGGCCCCATAGGGAGCTCCACCGAAGGCCCCAGTGGCGCGGTGCCTATGAGAAGAGGGGCCTAGTTTGCGTGCCCCTCCTTCGTCTCATATCCGTGCGGTACTCGCAGCTGCATATGGTTGGGTCCTTCGCCAGGCTAATTTTTGAATTTCGCTCTGATTCGCAGTGGAGACGGTCAGCTCAGCGCGGCACTCGCTAGCTACTGGCAGAACCACGCGGTATCTAGCAGCAGGGGCGCCAAGGTGTAAACGCTCCGCCCGATCATGCGCATGCCGCCCCCCGCCCCCATCGTCATAAAGCGCGCATGGCGCGACACAGCGTTGCAGGAGAAGGGAAGAGGCAAGAGGAGGCATTACATATCAGGCCCCATAGTAAACCGAAGCGCTAGGAAGGGAAGTGGGGAAAAAAGGTGAAGCGGACTGGTGTGCCCGATACGCGGGCGCGGGCCTGCGCGCGTGGCTGCCCGCCCCGAGAGGTTCGCCGTGCCTGGTACGGCGCCCGAAACCTATCGGACTGGGGCGGCAGCTGGAGATCAAACGGAGAGAGAAGCACCAATAACGCAACCGATGCCAACGAAGGCAGCAACAGCATGGCCCTGAATCATCATGCCGTAGAGCCCCCCCCGTACTGCTTGCCACCAGAGAGGGGGCACTCATATAGAGAGGTGGGCGAGAGGGGCGGTGCAGAAGACGACAGCCATTTGCTCTTCTGCACCTCCACTTGTCCGCTCAAATCATGATAAAGGACAGGCGGCAACCTATCCGAACAAGCCTCTGCCAACATTATGATCAAGGTTCCAAGGGGCTACTTCGCGCAAGCGAAACTGTCTCGTTTCCTGGAGTTTAGCAGCTCTTCTGACGCGTGCCTGCGCGCGATGTTGCACAACGGCGGGCGGGGAGGATCTGTTGCCCTCTGCGAGTCACCAAGAAAAGCACGTGCGTCTACATACTCCTGCTCCTCGTCAGCCTCAGGTGGGCCTGTCGGTCTAACCGCCGCCGTGTCATTTCGAATTTGTGAGGTGGAAGAGGTAACTTGCTCTGCTGTCGGGGGGGGGGCGCGTGGCGGTCGAAAGCGATCGAGCTCGGGGTCGCGTCGGACACGGCGTGTGCGCCGTCAGACAAAGTCAGGGGCCCATCCCTCGTCAGTGCCAGAATAGGGATCCCAGGAGACAAGGAAGCACAGTAGCCCATCACGTGCACTACCGTCCTCCCCCATGTCAATTGGAACAACGGGCGCAGTACTGTCCACATCCCCATGCCCACATGGCACGCACGGCGTCAGCGGCGGCAGCAGCGATGTACTTGCATAGGCCGGCGGGATACGTCTTCTTTTTGGCTGTGCGCCACTCCCTCCTACCCCTATCATGCCCAAGAAGCGTTTCGTGTCTGCCCCTGCCGTGCGAGCATCTGCCGTTTCCAGGGGTCGCAGGCAGGGCTGCGTGTAGCCCTGGCAGTCTAAGTGCAACGATCCTAGTGGGGTCCCTTGGCGTCTGACCATGTTCACACTGATCAAAATCGGTCGTCGAGACTGCTGGGGGCGACTGGAGAGCACGCATCGGATGACAGGTGCACGAGCTGACAGCTTGGAGCCTCCATTCACATGGCTGGGGGTGCCCAAGCCAACATGGCGTCCCAGCCTGCATGTGCGCAGCGAACAGCTCCAGCATAGCATGGTATTGCGCATTGCCCACCCACAGCTGTTCCATTTGTCGTTCCGTAACTGCCGTCTTGCCCCAGAATTGGTCATGCGTACGAAGTGGCGGGGGCCTTGGCCTTCTGCCCGCCGAGAGGCAGACCAGGTCTCACACGGCGGCCCGCCACCCGACACCGCCGCCCGTCGTGCAAGGATGCGAGACCTCCATTCTGCAAGTGTGTCCCGATTCATGGGGCCCCCGTCGACTGCGTGTATGGCTATATCCACAGACAGGACATATATCGCACAGTCTGAGCTACAGTGCTCCCATTCAACCTGCGCCTGCACATCCCCTGCTCTTTTCCGCCCGCAAAACAAATTTAGGACAAAGTATTCAACTCTTCTGACGGCTCTCGGCGCGGGCTCGGCTGCAATGCCAGTGTGCCGTTCTGTCAGGAAGAGTCGACTGGGGTATCTCTCAGTGGCGTACTGAACAGGGCTGGCTGGCGGCGGCGGCAACGCAGCGGCATTCGCGGGCGCTTGTAGGCACGCAGCAAGCCCAGCTGGGAGATCGGGGTCAGCGGCCGCAATCTCCGAGCGTGCAGTGCCATGGTCCATCGTAGCCATCACTGAATGCGCATGCTTTGTGATGGGGCCAGGTGCGCGAACTGTCGGCGCAGCAACATGACGGCGAGACGACGGTGCACTTGGGATCCTGCCTGTCATGGGGGCTGGGAAATCGGGGTGCGTGATGTGATAACACTGCGCGGCACCAGCAGTGGCAGCACTCGGTGCAGCAACTGCGGTGGTGTGACCATTCAGCAGTATGATCATTCAGCAGGTGGGCCCGGGCATGGAATGCAGATAGGCACGCATGACGATGTCCGTCTGGTGACGCCCATGCAC